GTGAACACCCCAAMACAGCTTCCCCCTCTGCACCCACCCCCCCAAGGAGTTTATAAAATAAGGGGTTTATCTTTTCCTACAAAGACAGCGATGGGATTTCCTTTGCAACAGCAGAACAATCTCCCTGAGAGGTAGAGAGTTAATTTCAGGGCTGACAGATCCTAAATTCAAACCAGTTTGTTCTAGTTGAGGTAAAATTCAGTAGTTTATGGTGAGTTTTGCAACGTCAGAGGGCCATCAAGATTCCTCGTTGCCAGAGTCATCCTCATCCCCATAACAGCTCTCTGCTTCCTCCTCCATCTCATCATCCTCGTAATAGTCATCGTAGAAGAGGTCTGAGCCCTCRTCTGGGGCTGGAGTCTTGGTCTTCACACAGTACTCAGCCAGCGTGGTGGGGACCTTCACTCCGTCCCTCTCGGCGTCCACCTTGGTGCCCAGCACTTGCTTCCTGGAGGGTGAGAAATGAGGGGATCAGGACAGAGCTGTGCCCCACAGCCCTCCAAAACCTGCATCCCACAGGATCCCAGCGCTGCCAGGCCCAGGCTCAGCACACACCTGATGATGTCCGTGTACTCCCGGTCCTTGCCTTTGCTCTCCTTCCATTTGCGGTACATCACGGAGGCGTCCACGTTGGCCGGGGAAAACGTGTTGGGCTCATTCAGCAGCGAGATCACGCTCAGCAGGATGGTTCTGGCATCGAGAAACACCAGCAGGTCAGAGCCCAGGYGGGTYAGCAGTGCCACCCTGTCCGAGAGGTCCAGCAAAGGGGAGCAGGGGACAGCAGCACATGGGCTGTTGGGCTCACACTCATCCACATGCAAGCTCTGGCTGTTTTTCAGCACAGCCCACAGCCCCTGAGAGCCTTTCAACAGCCCCCTGGGCTGTTTGGAGCCATCCTCCCACCTTCCCATCCCTGCTCTGGGATGAGCCCCCCCAGCCTCACCGCACGTTCTGGGTGGGGTTCCAGCGCTCCGACGGCAGCTCCCCGCTCTGCGGGTCATCCACGGGCGGGTGCAGGATGGAGATGCAGACATCACCTGTCTGAAAGCACGAGAGAAACAGGATCCTCAGAAGCT